CATAACAGGAGCAGTGCAGCAACAAGACCTATCAACACTCACTTGTGACATCTGCTAGGTGTGGTATTATTATTTTTTTTTTTTAAATGAAACAAACAAAACCTTTCTTTTCGTGGCCTTAGTTTTGTTACTGGAGGATCTGGGGGCTCTGTTTGGTTTCCCTGTAACTGCAGGAACCAGAGTGTGCTGAAAAGCCACTTTCTTACTGATAAGACATCACTACAATGGTAAATTTTAAAGGAATTTGTTGATTTTCCTACACATTTGCAACTAAGGAGTGTGTTTCTCTTCAGATCTTGTTGAATGAAGTTGTCAGGATTTAAAACAAAAAAGCTGGCAAAGTCCTTGTTTTAATTTCATGCTGCTGTTTGCTTTTCATTCACATGCCATTTGTCACTGATGTTTTTATCTTTTAGAAAAAATCATGGCAACTGGCATATTTCATTCCAAACAACTAAAAACCACCTCTACCAGCCTTCCAGCAGCTCTTCCTTCAAGTTATGTTAGACTGAAGAATGTAATTTATGTGTCTGTCCTTCTAAGCATAAAGAATCCAGAATTTATGGGTGCTTTGGTTTCACTGCCTTACTGATCTCGTGAGTGATATTGAAACTGGCAGTTTTAACTGCATGTCACTGAAATTCAGACTGCCTTTTCTAGTGCCTGGCAAGACATACATCCTTACTCCTGTAATCTGTTAAATGTCTGTTAAATGGCTTTTTATTTGTGTCACTTGTATGACATGTTGGTTTTTGTTCTACAAACCTTAGAGCAGCGTGTCCCAAACTTCTCTTGCACTACAACTTAGGAGGTGAGTTATCTTTGATCCTATTTCTTGAGTAGGATTCAGAGAGTAGCTACTGTAAAGGGAATTAGGGAAATAGCAGGTTTTGTTTAATATGAATTCTACAGGATGTGTTGGACAGACTTGATAGCAATGAACTCTTTTAACATCCATGAAGAACCAGAAAATTTGCCACCTCGCGACCATCATCTCAGCACAGAGCAGCAGCAAGTAGTTCTGCAGCACCTGAGCTGAAAAATTCTTCTTGGGAATGAAAGAAAAACCTCAAAATTAGTCTCCCAATATGGATCAACACCAGGTCCTATGCCAGGAATCTAGATTTTCTGGATGCAGCTCAAGACACTCATTATTCAGAACGGAAGATGAGACACGACAACCAGGAATCTGCCATCAGGAAGCATCTGGTTGGTGTTTTGGAGGCAGTGTTGTTAGTTAGCAGTGTTAGTCACCTCTGGACTTCATGGGAATGCTTCTGCTTGGAGCACGAGGAGGATGTGCTACCCACAAGTATTTAGAAGGCTACCCTGTGGTCAGGATTGGAATATGCAGCCTGTCACTTGCTGATCTACCTCTGTCATGTATTGGACAGGACCTGTGCCCATTATTACACCTGCCTGAATGTGGAGACCATTAGAGCAGCCTGACTTAGCCCCACAGCCCCTGAGGTTGGCACCAATGTTGTACTGATCTGTGGCTGCCTCTGGTCACTCTCCATAAACATCCTGCTCTGTTCTGTGTCTGTCACTTCTAGGTTGTGCTCAGTCTGCTCTTCCTGTGCCTGCCCAAGTCTGGCTGCTTTATAGAGAGGTATGAGTAGGAGGACTTGAACTCAGACAGGTGAAGTGAAACCTTTTTTGGCAGTGAAGTTCCATTTAAAGCTAAGATGCAAACAGCATTACTAGTTCTACATGATTTTGGAAGAGGTGAGATGGAAAATACGCCTTTATAAGTCGTTTTAATTCTCTTTAAATCTGATACTGTGCTGTTTTGTTTGGCTGAAGGGGAATTGTATGACTTGAAATGCAGTTGATTCTTCTGGCTGTGGTGCATTTGCTGCCAACACTTGGTTTTGAACACCTGGATGAGTTTTTCAGCTAACTCCTCCATCTGAAACTCTTAGCAGCAGAAAATTCTCCCAGTGTCACGAGTGTTCCTCACAGTTACACCCCCCTTGTTTAGTCTGCATTCAAGAATCTCAGTGATGCTGTTTTCTAAAAACCTGTTTCTCCCTGTGGATATATTTTTAGCATTTGATAGCAGGTGGTGAAACAATTCTACATAACACTTCTTAGTGGAAGACAAGCTCTAAAGCAGCAGCACTTGTTTTTTTCGGTGGATCTCAGAATTCAGAAGACACCTTAATTTTGGCAGAATCTGTGCCCTGTGATTTAAATTAACATATTCAGGTAAAATTATTTACTTTATAGAAACCCCTTGTAAGTAGGGGTTTGTAAGTATGTGGTGGGAGATTTTAACTGCAAAGTACTGTTTAACTGTGAGACCAGTATGAAGAGGGAGATTAGTGGTGGAGCCTTTGCTACCCATGAGAAGCAAAATAGCCAGAAGGAGATTAAGAAATCTTACATGGAAAGAGAACAACAAAAGCTAAAGCACAGAATCCTGTGGTGTTACATCAGCCACCCACCCATAACTGCACTTTAGTTTCTTACATAACAAGCTTGAATATTTTGTACATTTCACTTTCCTTTCTGACTCTTCACTCTTTACCACATAGACTCTGTTACATTGGGTTTGTTGTAGATTATTCAGCTGTTGTTCCTTTTTTTGTGAGGATGGAACATGACACAGAGAAGTGAATACATTTCTTTTCCCTCTGGAACACCCTCTGCCAGCTTTGTTTGAGAGTCTGGGATTTTGACTCTTTCTAGTGTCTTTATCAGCTGTCAGAAGAAGCTGGTTTCCTTTTAATCATTTCCTTAGAGATGCTCTTACACATCTAACAGTTTTGTTTCTGAAAATGTTTTGCAAGCAAACCTTTTCACCCTGCTGCTGTCAAAGAACATCCACAAAACCCTTGGAAGAGGATGGGAAGAGATGCAGCTGCACAGAACATACTGTGTAACTAGTAAGATGGGGTTTGTGTTTCTTCCTTCAGTTTCTCACTCACAACTGCCTATGGCTGCCAAGTGCCTGATCTCTGTCACAAACTTTTTCTGAGAGCTGAGGTATTTTCTCCTGGGGTCCCTAAGACAAGATCCTTGCTGGGTGGGAGGTCATTTTGGTTTTTGTTACAACTCCTCCGGCTGCAGGAGTCACAGAACTCTTTTGACTTGCTCCCCAGAAACGTTGTTAGCCAGTACATGGCTGCCTCTTCTTGGCTCCAACCTTGTGCCTGACTGAACCCCACGTTCCTGATGGATCTGCTCAGATGTTTGAAAGCTGGTTGAGGGGTCTGGCCCTGCAGCTGGTGTTTATTTTAGTGTGTGTAATTCGAGGAGAGGCAGTGTGAGGGCGCAGCACACAAGCAAACAAGCACTTTATGCAGAGCCCTGTTACTGGAGCTCCCAGCCAGATGCTCCAAACAGGACTGGGGATACTGGGCTTCACATGTACAATTTTGGGGGCAGGATCGATGCCTGAACCTCTTACTTTACTCCAGAACTCCCCCACCTTACTTGTTGAAAGTCTTTAGATT